GAGAGAGAGAGAGAGAGAGAGAGAGAGAGAGAGAGAGAGAGAGAGAGAGAGAGAGAGATGACATTGAGACTTGGTGACTTTTGGGCTATGCCCTTGCGACTTGGACATTGTATGAGAATCGACATTGGGGGTTTACAGAAGACTGGGTTCATCGGGCTATGTTGGCTGATCTCCTCTCTCTCCTCAGCCTTCTCTTCTCCTTTGTCTCTCCTCCCCTTCTTTCGTCTGTGGATCGTGTACTTGACTCAGCACCCCTTCTATGAGTGCAGCGCTGCATGATGATGGTGATGTGCAGTATTTGTCATTGGCCTCGATTGATTCAGATTTTGGGATTTCAGTCTTCCGCTGTGCTATCTTTGCTCTTTCTCTGCGAGGTCGGTTCTTGGTTCTGATCTATGCCCTATAGGCATGCAACACCTACACTCAGCCATTGAGCTGTGATCCCTGTAATGTCAGAGTGAGCCAATTACTCCTGATCCTTGGCTTGGTGATTGGAGACTCTGCAGATGGCTGTGTCTGCGGCTCATTGTTTCTCAAACTGCATTAACTAATCTGACATACGACAATGTTTACCCTCTCAGCACTTCCTAGACCACCTAGAGTTGAAAGAGTTTGGAGATCAGCTTCCAGTTTAGGACTGCCAGGGTTGACATGGCATCAAGTCCCAATTCAAGGTAGATGTACCAGTATGTATAGTTAGTTGTACAGGTATACCTGTCCTTCACCCCTTCTCTGACTGCCAGGAGTTGTTTGCCAGCTGGATGGCTGGCCGAGGCTGGCACCTGCCAAACCTCTGCCTGCCTGTCATTCTTTGGGTCGCGGTTCTGCAGAACAGCATCATTTGAGGAAGGAATTCTGTTCTCAGGGTCTTTATGTTACTCCAAGGACCCCAGGTCATATATCATGTTGTACGGTGCTTCTCTTAGTTCTCCTTTAGCAAGGAGCTCTGACCTGATTTCCTGGTTTTCTCTCTGCGACTGTCTTATGGCAGGCACCAGCTCCCGCAGCTGCAAACATCTCGTCATCAACATCCGACTCATATGGTGTGCCCTCTTGGAGTGCAGGGGGAACCGATCAGCAAAAGCCAGGAGAGATCAACAGGGAAGGCATTAGCAGTGACGATGAGCCACTCAGCAAGTTCAAGCATTACCCATCCTCGGAAGACGATGATGAGGACGCAAGTGGACAGGGGAGGGATCTTCTCTCAAGCAAAGCAAAGGTTAAAGCTACGGCTAAGAAAAGGACAAGTTCAACTGGACTTGACAGTGATGAGGATGAAGACGAGTCACCTAAGGAAAATGCAAAGAGAGGGAGAGGTGAAGATGTGTCCAATGGTCAGGGCAAAGATGGCAGCATTGCTAAAAAGAAGAAACTTGAAGGAAGTGGGAGAGGGAGAGGAGAAGGTGGGGGAAGAGGAAGAGGGGCAAGCCGTGGGGCCGCATTGGGAGCAGAGAAGAAACTCAGTGGGGAGGCAAAAAGGGGGGCAGTTGCCAAGGTAAATGAGAGGAAGGGCAGAGGGAGAGGGGCAACAGGGCTTGTGACTGGAGTGCAGAAACAGTCAGGTTTGGATAAGTGGCTAGGCGCTAACTCCGCTGGGGCAACTCCTATTCAAGACATCGACGAGGGAAAACCCAACTTGGATGTGAACATGGAGTCCAGTGTGATCTATGATGCTGTTGTTAGGAGCGAATCAAAAAGCGTGGTTTCCGCGAATGCAAGAATGGATCCAAAGGTGGCAGTGAAGAAGAAACCTCCTGCAGTTGTGAAGAAGGGGTTGAAAGATGGAACAAAGTTGGGGGGTATAAAGGAAATAAAGGAACCAGAAAGGGAGATGCAAACTGATGTAGGCAGTGAGAGAAAAGAATCGAAAACGGAAACGAGAATGGGGGGAAGGGAACTCGGCCAAAACGGTGAGATGGCGACAGATGCAGATGCAATGATGGAAGATGACGGGGAGGAAGAAGACGGAGCCAAGGGGGCAGATGTCACAGAGGACCTCAAGAAGAAGGGGAAGTTGAAAGTTCTGTCAAGGCTTCCATTGATGCTCCCTGATAAAATCTCAAGGTTGAAGGTAAGATGCTGTGGAACAGTTGAACTGATCAAGGCCAGCAACCCTCCTATAAAGCCCTGGAGTTCTCTCAATGCTTGAAAAGAGACCTGAAGACCTGGCCATGGACTCGTATAAGCACTTGTTTGAATTCTTCTGAAATGGCTTTTACAAAGCTCTCTATCCTTTCCTTCTGCTTACTGCCTGATACCTACCTGGCAAATGTCCCCTGTTTTTTGTTTTCCACTCGACAACCGGATTTCTAGAAGTGCCGGCTCAAGCTTGAAACTCTGCTGAGACGAAGATTTTTTTCACGACAAATATTGCAACCTTGATTCTCTTTTGTTTATCCTTCTATTTTTCCTGTCCTTTCTTCTCTTGAGATGCCTATTTACTTTCAGGGTGGTACCAACCCAACTCTCCACTTGTATGACTACCAATCTCCTGCATCTGTTGTCATTCCTTAACTCTGTCATACTGACCCTGACCACACTGTTGTCAATGTTGTGGCTGTGCTCCTGTGGTTGCAATTCTACATGCGCGTGCCCCCCCCCCCCGCCCCCTCCACACCCCGCTCCATCTTTCTTTTTTTTTTTTTGCAAATAATCAGAACCTTACGATTCTGGCTCCATGTCCATTCTGGAAAGCTTCAGTGCAGTTCCTATTCCATCAGCAAGTCAAAAAAGAAACATGTACACACTCTACGCTCCTCCCCGTTATGGTTGGAAGGCCGGAGCAGATGGCATTGATTACTTCCCTTCGGAAGGATATACCAACCCTCACCCCTGCCTAATCTGGCATAATTAACTTACTCTTGCGGTTGGGTTGCACCGGCAACCTTGAGACTGTTGAGCTTAACCCCCCGTCCCCATCTTCTTCCTTCATCTCTACCGATTCTTCAAGAAAAATGGTCTGCAAGTCAGACAACGGTTCCTGCTCTGTCAATTTTCCGTCTGCAACTTGTGGTATTCCTCGTGCAGAGCTGCTAAATGCAAGCAAACGAGCATCACCACTGAGAGAATATAGTAATATCATATTAATATGCGAAACATAGGGTGCAATTGTGCTGAAACGCAGACAGGTGTGTAGGCGCCTAGTGCTCAAGAAAACCAACCTGGCTAGCCGTGCATGACTCAAAGTTTCAACATTGAAACAGTCGTTTCAGCAAATGGCATGATTATTTCAAGATATCCACATGGAAAAGATGCTCGAAGTGCAACTTCTATGCACACAGGTAGAAAAGGGGTTGCTGCGATAATTGTCGCTGTGGTGACTTTGACAAACACAGACGCGCCATCGCTTCTGCCAACATATGTTGGCCAGAAACAGTGCATACAGAGTCCAGTGTCCACACTGCAATGACATTTCCTATAGAGCTGCCGGCCTACGAGCGCATCAGACCCGAGGAACTGTGACCTGTGATCACCAAGGCAGGGAGGAAGAAGAAGCCTGCTGCTCAGCCATCCCCGCTGCTCCGATTGTGAAGTGTGGGTGGGCCAGGCCAAGAACCAGCCCTGCCTCAACCACCTATGCAAACAGTGTGGCCTCGAAGCGAAAGGGAAGAAGGGACAACATGGAGAAAGCGTCGTCGGATCAGAGTCAGATAGTTGATGAAGATTGGACAGCGACTGCAACGACAGTGAGCGTGGCGACGAGTCCAACACCAATGCCTGACGTGGTGTTGCAGACCCTCAGGCTGTCAGCGTGTTTCATTGTTTTCTTTTTCAACGGGGGAAGAAGTCTTGAAATATCATCATGAGACTGATTGGCCCTAGGTAATTCACAGTGTTTTTTTTGTTTTGTTTTTTCCTGTGCTCCTATTCTAGGGAGCATCAGTCGGGTTCCTTTTCCACTGTTAAGTCACAACAGCAATACCCACTCAAACGCCTCCCCATGTTACGGCCCGTGGAGCCCTAACAACATTGATTGCTTCCCAGCGGAAAGGATTAGCTGTCCTTGTTGCCCAGTCATCTTGCAGTCCCCTCCCCCTATTGTCTACGTCAGTATGTCCCTTGAAAGAAACAGGCACAAAAACTCGCCAGCATTTCCCTCTCGGTCGGCCTTCGGGTGTGAAGGGAAGATTCTTCCTCTTGTGGTGGAGGGAAAATTCTTCCTCTTGTGGTGGAGGGAAGATTCTTCCTCTTGTCCTCGCCATTACAAACCAGTTCCCTCCACAGCAGAGACCAGAGACTTCCTGGGGTGTGGCAAGAAAACGACATCATTATGTAAGAAATCAGTAACATCAGTCACGGCATGGGCAATGACGCCGTTGTGCGACAGCTCCCCATGGTCACAGGCATGTACAATGCCCATGTAATGGCCAGGTCCTTGCACAATGCAGGCAGAGATGTGGCATGGAGGATTAGACCACTCACCTGCTCGAGCATTGCGTAGTTCAAGTTGGCGGTCCCTCATTGTTACTTGTAGGACAGCAATGGTAAAGCCTTTTTCCTTGGTATAATTACAATCCTCTGGCTGTAGGTGGGGAAGATCAGCATCAAGCTGAAGGGCGATTGCAAGGAAGTATGGCAGTGTATAAACGGGCAGTGAAGAATGTGAAGACAGATATTAGTTGCAGTCAGACCACATAGATTGGTAAGGGTCTCAGGCTGGTGTGTCGGATGCTGGCCAACAATTTGCAGATCACCCAGATGGTTTTGCAAGCCCAAAACGTCTTGGGTTGTTTGCTGGTCAGTCATTTGCAGATCACCCATGTGGTCTGCACGTGGCGAGGCACAAATTTGCGGTTAATCCAAACGATGTTGGTCAACCATTTGTAGATCCCCCCTGTGGTCTACACTTTGTGAGGTTAACTCCAATCTGGGCAAATCATGTTCCAATCCCTCGATGTTTGGGGCTGCATCCTAAGCAGGGACTGTATGAAATTGGGAGTGCAACTGGGCAGGGGCCGCATCCTGTTCTACAGGTAACTCATGAATATCTATTACCTAATGATGAAGGGCCTGAAACACGGTCCGTGGCTGCCTGCAGGCAGCCAGACTGTCGGCATAGGAGCGGATATTGCCATTTGGCACAAAGGAACCGCAACAACCTGTGGGGTAGGCACAAAGAGAATCGGGGCAGACAAAGAAACAAGTTGTCGATCCTCGGATGTGGCGGACCCGCCGGGATGGCGGTCCGTCAGGATGAAGACGAAGGGGTGAGCAAGACGGAGTTGGAGATCGAGCTGGAAGGGACAACGCAACTACGACGCGGACTCGACACACACGTACTTCAAAATTGCAGAGTGAAGAATGAGCTGAAAACAGACAACAACTGGGGTATACCCACTTCGGAGCAAGCTCCATGCAAAGTCCATGCGATGCAGTCTAAGCTACATAATGTCAAATGAAAAGCAAATGTCTAGTATACACATCCTAACTAACAGCAGAAAGCGAAATGTAGCATGATACAATCCTGAAGTCCTGGAGGCAATTGCCTCAGTGCGGAAAAGAAGATGGCAATATGTCACAAGTAATGTCATGTCGATGAACCACTAAGAGTGGGATGGTCTTAGAGGGGGTGAATGCAGCCTAAGAATTGAAACTTTTAAGGGCAGTCACACACGAGGTGGGGTAGGTCATCGGGTTCAAGGTGAGGGAGTGGTAGCGATGCGAAACCAATGACCCTAACAAATAGACCATCAAGGCGGGTAATGCTCGACGAAAGGGTGACACCATGCAGGGTCGACCATGAAAGGGGAGTCTGAAATAGGGTGGGCATATGCCTAACTGAAGGCATGCAATGGCCGACACTAGGGTGATGAGGATGCAGTGGGTGAGGGAAACATGCACACAACTCACCGATTGGGAGAGGGAGCTAGATCTGGGAGCAGGGAAGTCAAGATAACGCTACGGTCCCAATGCCTATGCGATACCAAGGGAGAGCCCAACTCAGAGAGACCCTGCTAAGTGAGAACCATCATGCGACACATGCAAGGGAATGTACAGGGTAGGGTGGTGGCGTGAAGTAGTCATGTCCAAAGTAGCTGAAGTCGATAAGGTAGCTGAAGTCGCCGAAGTGGTCGATGACGTCGATGAAGTAGGAGTCGAGTAGATGTCGAAGCAGAGTCGCAAAACGCTGACATCCTGAAGAAGCTGATGATGGAGTACCTGAAGGTGTATACTGGAGCTTTGTCATGGAGGAGAGTGCAAGCGTAGTTCTGCTGACGGGTCACGGGTATGTGTGCACTTCCTGCTCAACTGCAATGACATGGGAACGTTGCATTTGGCATGAAGCCCAACGTTTGTGGTTTTTTTTCGCCAGTCATTAGCATAGGCATTTACCATCCTGTGACAATGCAACAGAATTATGTTACTTCAAACAAACTAAGGCCAGCGGCAGCTATGCTGTGGCATAAAAATGGGGAAAGGGGTAGAAGGAGGTGGGTAGCAAAGCCTGTTACTGCTGTTTTTTTCTTTTTAATGTTCCTGGCTGCCCGGCTGCCTCCAGGCCACAGCTATCAGGAATGTCGGCAACTTCTTTGTATACCAGCATGGTATGGGAGAAGGCATTGGGGATGGTAGTGGTTTAAACTAGACTTGCAAACTTTAGGTTCTGTGATGATAAAGTCACCAAAAGATTGATTTCCCAGTCTACCATTCACAATTGGAATTCCTTGGAAATTAGCAAGAAGAGTCAGGACTCAGAAGACATATACACCTCAAACAAGCTGAGGCCGAGCTGCGGCTGCGCTGTGCCTCAAAAAGCGATAGAAGGAGGGGATAGTGGTGGTTTAAGCCAGAGCTGTGAACTTCCGATTCCACGAACAATGAAGCCACACAAAAGATTGATTTCCCAGCTTACCATTCACAATGGGAATTCCTCCGACAATAGGAAGAAGACTTATATGAAGTTTTATCCTTTAAAGAAGCAAGAAAACTTAATGTGCAGTTGGGTGCGTGGTGGTCGCCTGTCCTTTGTGGTTGGAGCAGGTTCTGATGGAGTGTGACAGTGATGCTGCTGCTCTTGACCTGAGTGGCGATGTTGGTGCTGTTGGCCGTTTTTCCATGCGAGATGCCGGCGAGGACGGTGAAACCCTCCTCCTGGACATCAAGGGTACTGTTTATAAGGCGTTGATCCTTCCATCCACAACTTGCTTTGTCGTAAATGTTGGAGCTACGGAGGCCAAAATCGAGTCAATCATGAACGACTTCATGCTCCTTCAAGAAGAGAGAAACATATTCAATGCCGAAACAATGGTGGAAGGTTGGTTTTGCATACATCTATCCTCAACTTCCTGGAAACAGAGATTTTCTACTCTTTGCCTTGCTTCACTGCACTGAAGAACAACAAATGGGTGCCAGGACCTCATATTCACATCATAAGGATCAAGTACCACCCGAAGAAGATGACTTTTTGTTGCTCCCTGTGATGGCATAATTTTTTATTACATCCTGCCATGCCATCAAAGCATAAAACTTACACAGCTGTTGGTTGCCCAAAATCTGAGTTTCAATTAAAAAAAAAGAAAGCACAGACAAAAGAGAAAGGGTACATGGGTATACCTTTCTCGGCCTTTTGGCTAAGATCAAGTGTAGTATCTGGTCTGATCAGTTTAATATCTGATCCGTGGTCCATCGGAAAAAAAAAAAAAAAAAAAAAAAGGGTACATGAGTTGTTGTGGGGAAAACTCACCAGTCGTCGAAGCGAAGACGTCTACGCCGGACGTCCAGTAGGGGAGTTGTTGGGGATCCCGGACAACTCATTTTTAGCGAATTTAAAAGAAAAAGAAAAAATTGGGGGCGTTCCGCGCCGGTACAAGGATACCTCGTAAGAAAATTTTGAGCTTATTTGGAGCACAAACAAAATGAGGAAACGGGGGGTGGGGGTGGGCGGGGCCAGGGGCTGGGTTAGGTGGGTGGAGGGTCCGCTGCTGCAGCAGGTGCAGCATGTGCTGCACATGCAGCGCCTGCTGTAGCCGATGCGGCAACTGCCGCATCGGGGGCAGCAGGTGCAGTACCTGCTGCATGTGCAGCCATCTGCACGATCTGCTGCAGCAGGTGCAGTAGCAGCTGCAAATGCAGCATCTGCAGCAGCTGGGTCATCTGCAGCATCTGCTCCGGCGGATGGTGCAGATGCTGCACGTGCAGCAGGTGCAATACCTGCTGCATGTGTGCATCTGCCGCATCTGCTGTGGCAGATGCGGCGCGTGCAGTGGCAGCTGCATCTGCTTCAAGATCTGGGCCCAATCTGGGCCATCAATCTCCAAATTGGGCCTAGATTTGTTTTACGAGTTTTGAGACCCTACCAACCTCAAAAACAAAGGATCTCAGGCCTGGTGCAGCACCCCATGACTTCCTGAACACGTCCAGGCCCTGAAACTGCCACAAACCATTTCCCCCCAATTTTTCTCAGGGGAAGGACGAGTTGTCCTGGGAGGACGTCTCCGGAGTTGTCCGACCGGACAACTCGGACAACCGGGGCGGTCCCGGATGTCCAGCCCGGTAAGCTAGTCAGAAAGTCTAAAACCACCTTTTTCAAACTCTTTGAAGTTTGAACTGTCGGCCTTTTATTGAAAAAATAAAAGAACCTCTTTCAACTTTCAATTTTCAAGCCTGTTCGTAACTCTCTGATGCAATCTATGAAGGTGCTTTTGACAGTGGAGGTCTAATTGGTGCTCTGGCAGCCAGGAAGGTTGGGGAGGGGCCGAGGGCGGGGCGCGGCGCTACCGGGAGCACTGCGCTCCGCCCCGGGTTGCGGCATCGCACAGGTGGGCTATGGTGACGGCGCGCGGCGAATATGGTGGCCATCTCTTCTGTAAACCAGGCGCTTTGTGCACGCGCAGGTGACCGAAGGCGCTTGTCCACGCCACGTCACAAGCTGATGTGGCAGTTGGACTGACTCCCGTTTTTCTTCTTCTGGGAGTTGCACGTTTCACTCCGTTGCCGTTGCGGTTTCGCACGTGGCATTTGGCCTGAGAGGCATTCGCTATGTCGATGCCTGTGGAGTACAGTGGAGTCAGCCCTTGGTAAAACTGAAGTGCGAGTGCAGTGGCGACTGCAATCATGAGGAGGTAGATGTGTAGCATAATCAGGGTGCTACTCGTCATCAGCAACGGGGCGTTGATCACCACCAGCACCATCATCAACAGGCCGCGGTTCGACACCATCATCATAGTAATGGTTCGACATCATCATTAGGATGCTGCTCGTCATCATCATCATCAACAGGGCGTGGTTCGACATCGTCATCACGGTAATGGTTTGTCATCGTCATCAGGGGGCTGCTCGTCATCACCATGATCATCATCAGGGTACTGCTCGTCATCACCATCAAGGCGTACGTCCTCACTCCTGTTCGGCACTAGTATCATCATCATTATCAAGGAGCCGTTCATCAGGGGTGCTGCTCGTCACTCATCGTTGTATTACCATCATCAATATTTCACCATCATGGGGCGCAGTTGGCAAAGCTCGTCATCATAGGGCGCTGCTCATCCTTATCATCATCATCATCATCATTAGGTTATCATCAAAGACGCTCGTCATCGACACCATCATCATGTTGTCATCGCAGGGCACCGTGCATCATCATCATCATCATCATCATCATTTTTACCGACATCATCATCATCATCATCATCATCATCAGTTTGTAATCATAGGGGCTGTTGGTGCTGCTCTTTAGTATGATCAGCATCATCGTTCTGTCTTCATTCTCATTACCATCATCATCATCAGTTTGTTATCATTAGATGTTGTTCTTCAAGGCATTGTTTGCCTTTTGCATCAGCAGGTGAGTTGGTCGTCACCATCATCCTCATCATCATCAGCTTCAGGGTGCTGTTCATCGTCATCGGCAAAATCCAAAAAATATCATCTACCTTTTCTTCATCATAAGTTTCAAACTTTCCGATTCTTTCATTCATATTTTAGGAATCCTATGGGGTTATTGCATATTTTTGAAGAGGCCCTGCTTTTCCAAATTGCGAACGACATTTTGGTAAGTGTGTCATCAGTAACTGTAGTCGGCTGGATCGGATCGTTCCCGGAGGGCTAAACGGTAGGAAGGGGGTGGGGGGAGCTCTATCTTGCAGGGGCATCACAAGGTGGGGGGTGAATGT